TTTATACAATTTAAACAATTTAAACTAATTTTTCTATAGAAAATTAAGGTCAAATGATATTCTTAAATGTCATACCTCTTTATTTCCTTGTGAAATATGACTTACTATTTAAAGGCATAGAAAAGGCATTAAGGAAACGTTAGATATAAAAGCAAGTTAAATAGTACATTGTCAAATATTTGGTTGCAAAGATATTTTCGTTTGTTATATAACGACGCCATCAGACTATTATGGCCGGCTTTCAGATTATTCATTAAAATTCTTTCAAATGCTAATATTGAGGCAACTTTAATCCTACTAAAATCGACGAATATAACTTTATATTAATATTTATAAAATAGTTTTATAATGTTTCTTCCATTAGATGTGGATTTATTTCATTTTTTTTCTTTAAGGAAAACCTTGACCTTGAACTTTGAACTATGTTTTTCAACAATTGTATTGAAATTTGGAATAATTCTGGTAAGCGTCATTTTTGCAAGTATCTAGATTCTTTAGTTACATTTTTCTTATATTATATGTATGCTAATCTAATATTGTATGAAAAAATTGCGATTGGCGATACTCAATTTTTGTTTATTTCTTGAGGAGACTAAATAACTAGTACTGTTTAGAACACAAAAGTATCGTTTGTAGAATGGTGGTATTAGGAGGGAGTATAACTCATTACCCAGTAGCAGGGCTTTGACGAAAGCCAGAATCTAAGACGGTTTTTACAGAGGTTAGTTCTCCATCTCCAATATCACTCATACCCAAGTGATGGCACGAATAGTTTGTCATGTCAGCAGGGCCGGGCGAGTACCCTATCTAGCCCCCCCCCCCCTTAACCCCCTACTTCCCCCCAAAACATTGACCCAAAACATTGTTTAGAAATTTAGAAAAACGAGAATTATAGAAAAAAGTTATTTACCACCACTTGTGCTTTTTTGAGTTATAAATAAAATGCCACGAACAAATCCGATTTATATATTTTTTATTTAATTTTGTTTTAATATTCTTCCACGAAAATGAATTCGCAAATCCCAGTTTCGGATAGAGCACTCAAAAGATATAGAATAGAAGAAATCAAAACTATCCCAAAGCTTTCGTGCTAAGGATTTTTGAGCATAATTTCAGTAAATTATAATAGGATACATCTACGATATAGTATAGTGTTTATAATGTTTAGTCAGATATTCTTCCCTATGTGGTGTGGTAATAGCTAATGTGCTAATGTGGAAATTGACAGTACCGATTAATTATTGAACTGGATATTCGTTACTATTTGTTTAAGATTACTGTTTTTTTAAATATTTTAGTTGCGATCATGGCTTGCGCCCGCGTCAATCATTAAACGTCATTCATTAAAACAAAATGTAAAAACTTTGAACGTTTCGTTTTAGTTACTACTGACTTAAAACAAAGATTTTAAAAACTTAAAATAAAAGCTATATATAAATGTTTTTAAAAAAAAAAAAAAAAAAAAAAAACTAAAAATAGAAGTTTTTATTTGACTATTTTCATATCTAGCTTTTGTTTTTTGAAACAAATTAAACCCTTTTGAATGATACCAAATTTGTTAAAATCGGTCAAGCTAAAAGTCATGTAGTATATTTTATCCCCCTCTTCCACTCTATTTCACTAATTTTTTTTTTTTTTTATTATATTATTATCTAAATATATTAATGTGTGTTTGGTTAAGATCTAAATAATATTAATTTCCATCATAAAGCATAAAAAATATAAAAAGTTGCATAAAAATATAAATAGTAATAATACTTTTATAATTTTTTTGAAATGCCGATGAATGACTAAATTTGAATAAACTTCTCCTCGTCCATGCTCAAATTTATGCTGGTGGCGTACTCTCGACCGTCGATCGTGCGACTCGCGGCTACAATCGACTTTCCGACCGGTCATGTCGCCGATACCGCTTCGCGCGGAGCCTTATTCGCTATTTTTGTTTCTTTTTTGCCCCTACTACACCTGTATTTGCCAATCGAATTTCTCATTAGTCGCTTCCGGAGTCCTGTCTGCGGTGATAAGCGTGTTTTTTTAATATTCTCGACAATAAATGACAACGGACAAGAAATAATTATAAGCTCTTTGTTAATAGAAGAAGAAGAAATCACGAGAAAGAATCGAAAGTTATATTGTGTAACTATTTCCATAGCGACGAGATAAATCCGTATTTCAAAATGAGCCATGAAAACTTTGCGAACTTTCTTAGCATATTGAATTTTTAATCTCCTCTTCGGCTACCTACGTAAAGTGGAAGGAATTGCGTGTGACGTCAGCAACACTAGCCGCATTTACCGAAAATCATTCTGGCTCAACAATGCTGGCCGCATTTCCGTCGATGCGATTCGTGCGACTCTGGCTAGTGTGCGGACCTTCATTGAAAGTAACCCAAACAATATTTTTCTTCGGTCGATGCGGCGCGTGCGGCTCTGATCAGTGTGCGCGTACCTTAAAAGTGTGTTGAAAAGGAGATTAGAAATTTAATATGCTAAGCAAATTCTTCATGTCTCATATTAAAATATTGAAAATTTTTAGTTCATCCTCAATGAAATATGGAAATAATGCATTTTAAAATATTGTGAACCTACAACTTATTATGAGTATTATATTGTGTAACTATAACTTTAAAATACAGTAAAATTTTAAAAAATAAAAAAAAAAAAAAAAAAAAAATAAATAATTATTATTTAGTTAAATATATAAAAAATAAATATTACGAAACGCCAATTTCCATTACCGTCCCAAGCAATCGTAATATTAAAGATGCTGGCAAACGTTAAAATAAATAACTTAATAATAACTAATTTTTACGTTTGCATACCTTGAAGAGGTATTATCTCATATTTTACAGTGACACAAGGACTCGGGACGATTTCTAATAATGGATCGGTCATTTACATAAAAATTAGTAATAATATTAGTATTAATAACATTGTCAATTGGCTCTTGGCTGGCTAGAGTAAGAAGCCTGGTTATTGAGAGAAATAATAAAATATATATATAAGGCCTATGGATTATAACAACAAGGCTGAATTCACATTTATATTTGCATAATTTTGATTTATAAGACATACTTTACTGTTGAGTAACTGTCTAAATAATATAATAGGTCATATAATTTACATACAATTTGTAGACTATTCTACAGCCAATTTAGGTATGCCTAGTATTTAGATTTATTTCTGTTTTCGGTTTTCATTTTAAGTTGCATCTTATGTAGCGCTTCAATCTGTGCTTGGAACTTGTGAGATCTTTTTATCACTCACAAAATCCAACAAATCAAAGTCATTGAAATCGGTCCAGACTTTGTTTTATCTGTTATTAAAATAAAACATAAATTTCGCATTTATTAGAAAGGTTTGGTGCATTTCAGCTGATTTTAAAATCTGACTGCATATTTCGATGCGGCAAAAAATTGTGTTTTGCCCTGTATTTCACGCAGTTCCGATGTAGATTGCTTTGAAATAATATTGCACTGAAAAATATTGTTTATATCATTAATGAACATTGATTATTAATTGTTGTTTCATTGGGACAATGATTTTTTCATTAATATAAGGATTTGTTAATCACAGATCGATGTCCGATTTATTAATACTATGAATCTAATTTCATCAATATAATGAAAATCGGGTTATTAAATTAATGTAAGATTTTCATTATTATCGAACACGTTCATTGTCCTAATGAACGCGTTTTTATTTTAGTGCTGGAACTTTGACAAACACATATTCATTATATTAATGTACTAAATCATTGATTAATGAGTTGTATATTGTGACAATGAACAATGTTATTAATATAACGAACACACTACATTATATTAATGTACGCGGTTATTAACATCATGAATAAAATATTAGGGCTTAAATGTCCGCTATGTTGATCGGTTACTTTGGCACTTTAATAACGTCTGTGTAGTTGAGTTATTCAGTGAGGTTTTAGTTTCATTAGAGCGGTAAGTGTTCTCTTCAATATTTTAAATATTTTAAAATAAAAGTCCTATCGTATTGTAGTTAATTTGCTGTGTTGTCAAATCAAATTCCGCTGTGTGAGATCTCTGGTGTGGGTATTCATTAAAACAGCGGTTTCCAAATATGTTTCAGAAGATAAAAAACAAAAAGAAGAAAACATAAATCAATCGAGGTATGGAATTGATTATGGTAAATCTGAATGTTCTTTTAATATTTGGCATTTTAATTATTTTGATATACGTCTTTTAGAACCGGAAGAAGATGTTGAGAACTGCCTTCAAGCCCTCAAAATCGTCGATACAGTTTACATCGAACCTAATTTGATGTGACTTGGAAAGCCTGTTGTAAATTTGTCTAGACGTTATCAAGTCTAAGGATACAGCTAATATAATGGGCAAGAAAATGTATCTTTTATAGAAATCCCCCAGGATATCGACTGGTAAATTAATTTTCTTATTATAATTTTACTCCTAAAATTAATAATAATAACATTACTATTCTCTCTGTCTATCTGATTTTTTTAATTTTAATTTGTATATGCTATACCGAGTTTAATAAATTATTATTAGTTTATTGCACTTGTTTTTATTAATAATCCCTAATGGAAAACTTACTGTTCTCGTAAGTAAGTCGGCACTATTAGTAATTTTGTTACCTTGTAGCTAAGGGCTTGTTCAAATTGGAAATATATTTATAGTAGAATTATTTGAGGTAGTTGGCTGGGAAATGACTATCAATGACATTTCATAACAATGACAGCGATCTCATCATCGATTATACGGCGTAACAAGAGTTACTAATAGTGTCGACTTTTAAATGTATAACTAAATAGGTTATGAAATTATTCTAATAGTACAGATATAATGCTAATTTTCATAAGAATATTAAAAAAAATAAATTTCATCGTATTAATGATAATGAACCATTATTACAATGAAATTATTTCTATCAGCTAACTCAGATATTCTACCGTCCTCTTAGAAGGACATTTGGTTAGGTCTATATTTTAACAACGCTTATCATAAATCAGACGGTTCCCGTTAGATGGAATTATGTTATTTTTCGTGTTTAAGCTATAAACTGTATGTTTAGTATGAACCAATACGTTTTTTGAACGTTTTTTTGTGAATATTTGAGTTTTAGTAAGCGCTATGGATGTTCACTACGACTTCAGAATAAGCGGGTAAGTTTATTTTAAAATTGGAATTTTTTTTTTTTTTTTTTTGTTTTTAAAATTCATAATAACAGTGTCATTACATTATTAAAATAAGGTTATGTTCATATCTGCATTTTGTTTGCGTCCACGTGGGTGGAAATACGGGTGTCCTTCTAGAAGGACAGTGGGCCAATATACTGCATTTTTTTAGGCGAGACACGCTTGCTGATCTTCTTTCGGTCTTGGAAGAGGACGAAGACGACCTCGGTATCAATCCAGTGGATATTGTAATTATGCCACCAACTAACTCCTGCGAAGTTTTAACCGATGAAGATTCGGGCGATGAGGACGTTATCGACGTCAACAATTTACCAGCCGCTCAGCTTCGAGCAGAAGCCGAATTGTTCGCGCATAATTCCGACGACGAATGGGAAGACGAAGACAAAATCCCACTGTCAGAGTTGCGTAAAGGATTGTTGTCTAAAAGGCACTATGACGAGATCAAGAAAAAAACGTACAAGTGGGAAAAATTCGACATAAAAAATGCACGTCTTGAAACTGAATGGCCCAATTTTGTTTTGCCATCGAACAATCTTTCACCTATACAGTTATTTGAAAACTTTTTTGACAAGGAGATAATAGACATGTTTGTTTTTTACACTAATAACTACGCAGCTAGTAAAAAGAAAAGATCCGATATTACCCCAGAAGAAATCAAAGTTTTTTTTGGAATACTTCTCTTGAGTGGTTACGTTTCGGTTTCAAGACGCAGAATGTTTTGGGAAAATTCGTCTGATTGTCATAATAATATAGTGTCTAATTCCATGTCTCGAAACCGTTTTGAACATATTTTGTCAAACATACATTGTTGCGACAACAATAATTTGTATAAGAACGATAGATTTATAAGGTTCGACCCTTTTGATAAAATAAATACGATTTCTTGATTTTGCCCCAATTGATGAGTTTCATTGCGTCGACGAAGCTGTGGTAGCTTACTTCGGTCGTCACGGCTGTAAACAGTTTATACGAGGCAAGCAATTGAGGTATGGGTATAAACTATGGGTTGGTGCTTCAGCTATTGGATATATAATCTGGTATGAACCATATCAGGGCGCAAAATCTGAGATCAAGGATTGCTACAAAAACTTAGGGTTGGGGCCTTCTGTTGTATTGGAGTACACTGATGTTTTACGTTCGAAATTAGAACTTCCGTACAGTATTTATTTCGATAACTTTTTCACCACTTTGCCCCTAATACAATCCCTAACAGAGAAAGGCGTGAGGGCTACGGGAACTATAAGAAAAAATCAGCTAGGATATTGTCAGTTTGCGTCTGATGCAGACCTCAAGAAAAATCGATGATGAGATTTGATTTTAAAACATCCAAAGATAATTCTATAGTTCTTGTTAAGTGGTCCGATAACAATATGGTGCATATGGCTTCAAATTATTATGGCGTATTTCCATTACATCAGGTCACTCGCTATTCTCAAAAAGAAAAAAAAAAAGAATGTTTTTTTTTTTTTTTTTACAAAAAAAAATATAACATCAGTATGGGGTGTGTGGATCGGAGCGATCAAAATATCAGCCTATATCGTGTCAGTATTAGGAGGCAAAAATGGTATTTTCCTGATAACACACTTACTCGATGCAGCTGAGCAAAACGCATGGCAACTTCATCGCAAACAGGGAGGTAAACTCGATCATTTGGCATTCCGAAGAAATGTTGCCACGTCTCTTATTCAAAGTAATAAAGAAGACAGGGGGCTTAATTTATGTAGAAGACTTAAAACATCACCATTGGAAAACGTGGAAACGAGGTATGACAGATTGGATCACCTAATTGAAGAGCAAGATAAACAAACGAGATGCAGGGTGTGTCACAAAAAAGTGTCAACAGAATGCCAAAAATGTGACGTAACACTTCATGTGCGCTGTTTCATTACTTATCATACTCGTCCATAATTAAGAACTCTTTGTCGTTTTTACTTTGTGCTTTTATTTTAGTTTTTAATAAAATAAATTCCAAATAAAAATAAAAAAAATGTTTTAATTCGCCTAATGTTTATTTGCCCACTGTCCTTTTAAAAGAACACCCATATTTATGGACCCTACTCACCATAGGATTTTTTCCAATTGTTGGCTTGCTCAGCCATGAGGTATCCAACTAACAAGAATTTAAGCTAAATTTAAACACAAAATTTGTTTGGGCATATCTGGGTTAATGATACGGTTCATTAATATAAGGATTTAGGTACATTATATTAGTGAAATCTGTTCATTGTAAAATGAATGTGTTCTTCAAATTAATGAACACTGTTCATTGATTTAATGAACTTTAAGTTCATAGAGTTAATGAATTACTTTTCACTGTGCCAATGAAATCGTTCATCGGCTCAAAAATTAATGATTTTAATTAATTATATTAATGAACTTTTTCTATTATATTTATGTCGACTTTGGTTCAGTGCGAAATCGTGGCTTTGTTATAATATTTTAAGCATTTTAGTTTTTAATAGTGCAATTATGGATGCCATCCGAGGTTTGTGTGATATAACACTTTTCTCACATCATCATCATGGATCCCTTCCTAACAAATACAGGAGTTAAGCAGGAATGTGTCTTAGCGCCTCTCCTATACAACATATTCATGGCAGTGCTCTCCATTATAGTGATGGACAGTAAATTGCAGGAAAGAGGATTGGGCATTAGATAAAAATAGGTGGGCGCGGCTGTTCAACGTAAAAAGACTCAGGGCAAAAAACACGTACAAAATTTATCATAGAACTTGCCAATATTGATGACTGCGCCTAGTTGCAAAAACTTTACAGCAATACAAGAAATGCTGAACACATATACCTGGGCATACTGGGCTTTGGGGCCTTATGCTGAACATCGACAAAACTAAAATCATGTGCACTCCTCTGGAAGATCACAACAATGCTATAAAGATCGGAGAAGAACTATTGAATATGTAGCGGAATTCAAAAACCTCGGCAGTTTGATTTCGCAAAAAGCCAACACTGACTCTGAAATTCAGAAAAGATTAGCAACGCCTCAAGAGTATTTTGTAAATGATATACTTTTAATTTTGTTTTTAGAATTTTCACAAATTATACTTCTTAACGCTTTTAGAATTGCTGTTGTTACGATATTCTCCGATGGCGGTACTACCGGCGCGGCGGAGAATGCTCCAAGCCTATACCAAAATCACAAAGTTCAAAAAAAAAAAAAAAAAATTCACAAAAGTTCAAAACCTCATGCAACATTTTATTACTAGTTAACATTATTATGTAAGGAAACAAGAAATCACACATCAAATGTCAAATAAAGGACCTATAAAAATAAATATAGATAATTTCACGTTCACACAAAAGCAATAACAACCGAAATCAATTAGATATAAACTCCGTTACAAAGATGAAGACATCATCGCGTCTAGTTTTTTTGTAAAGCAAATCATTCGATTATGCTAATTACGTCATCACGGGTTAGCCAAGTTATTTTTCTTAGCATCCTTCAATTTATTTACTTTTTTTTGGTTAATTCTATAAGTATATTCGACCTTTATAATTAGATAAATGATTCACACGTCTTAATTAGAAGATGTAAGGATTTATCAAAAAACGTGTCTATATTGGCGGATAGTAGGGATTTGCACTGTGTATAACTCACTGAACATAAAGATGTATAAAAGAAGAATTAACTAAATATACTTTGATTTGTTTTACTCAGCATATACAGAGTGATTAACAATGATGGAAATAATAATATACTCACCGGCACGAAAAACGGGCACTTTAAAATTCTGATATATTTTAAAAAGTGGTTTATCCCTCTAACTTTTTTATTTTTGCAGTTAAAAAAACGAGATTTGTATGTTAGTATATGACATAAATTAGGATTGGATTGACGCATTCAATTGTTTTTTGGTCACTTTTAGTTTGCCTCGGAAATGAGTACAACTTGATTTTTAAATGACACCCTCGTTATTTTTTTACTTTATTCGATAGAAAATGATTCTCTAAATAGAATGACGCATCATATGTGAACTTTTGACATTTTCGCATATGGTTTATTTGAAATTGTAACATGCGGTTCATGGTTCATAAGGATAATTTGAGTCGAAATACCAAGAATTATTCGTAAAAAAATGTTTTTTCCAAATATGCTAATGAGCCACCCTTGTTCCATTTGAAAAAAAAATGAGATATAATTAAAAATATGATTTGGGCATCTTTTCTGACAGAACAAGATACAAAACACTTTAGACAATCAAAACTATTTTTCCAAGGCTCCTTGATTAAAAATTAGTGCATTTAACTAATGCTATGGCACTCTAGATTGAAATCTAAGATACGATTCGTTTTTAAGCAAAAATGTCAAAAGTTCTAAGTTAAAATGTCATTCTATTCAGAGTGTCATTTTCTATCGAATAAAGTAGAAATATATCGAGAGTATCATTTAAAAATCAAAAGTTGTAGTCATTTCCGGTGAAATTTATGTGAGACGACCAAAAACAATTGAGCGTCCAGATTGCAAGCAACGACCTTTAAGCGTAGTTTACACGGGCAAGTAAATTATTGCAAGTATATGTCTGAGAGCACTTTTACCAAACTTGCATAATGTGAACATTATCCGAAAGCACTCTCCAAGCAAGTCACAAAACTGGCAGGGAAGTGGTTGCGACGAAAGACGCTTGCAAGTGTAAACAGGTTGAGATAATGCTCTGGCAAGTTAAAAATTTATTTCCGTCTTGTTGAAAGTTTTTGGTGCAAGTGATTTTTGAAGGCGTGTTAAATAACGGCTTTTAAAATCAAATTTTAAACTTTGTTGTTTGAGTGAAAATGGAGTGAAAAATATGGTCGAAAGAAGATACCATCACTTTGATTAATATATTTGAAGGATTTCCGGAATTGTGGCATATCCACTTTGATATTTTATTGATTATATCCAATTTCGAAATTAGTTGTAGTAAAAAGTTAAAATCGACTTGACATTCTAAGAAAATTGTTTAAATGTCTTGGGTCTTCATTTTAATTTTAATAACATCAGTAAGCTCCAAGATTAGGCCTTCTGTCATTCCATTCTTTAACCCATACTCTTTTTCTAGATTTTCTTGACTGTTTGCGTAAAATTGCAACAAGAAGAGCAGTGGCTGCAGCTCTCTTTTTACAGCGCGACATTTTTCTACTAAACAATATACTTGTGCAATATACACCATACCGTGTATACTTGCATGCAATTTCTTGCTCAAATCATATGCCTAGAAAGTACTTGTTGCACGAAATTGCTTTAAAATTTGCTTAAATGTAAACACTATCGCAAGTTACTCTAGCAAGTTCTATCTCAACTTTCTATCCCGTGTAAACTACGTTTTAGCGCGTGGCCGCGGGCAGTCCAGTAGGCAAGTGAGACAGCGACGCGACCGACGCGACGCTCGGTGGGTTATTTGCATGAAAAAGGTGATCGAAATTCGAGAAAGCAAATGTGTTTAAGATTTCCAAAAAAAGATAAATGATAAGTTAAATCATGTCTGCAATGAATGGCGTTGCTATGGATGTGTTTAGTTGCATTCATTTGTTTCAACGAAAGGTCATAGTTGTGGTTACTTCTCACAGATAAGAAGAAAATGCCAAATCTTTAGCATTCAAATTATAAATTGTTTTTGTTCTTGTGCTCTTTTACGTTTATATTATTGTTTTGATTGAAAATGGCTCAGCAAGTTGCAGGTATCTATTCTACAAAAACGTATTATTAATTTTATATTCTTATACTAACGATTTTTTTTTTTTTATAAATCAAAAGTTGGGCGTTCAGAAAATTTGATAAATTTGTGACATTTTTATTATTATACTTTAGAGGAGATTTAGTTGCGCATTTCGAAGAATTCAGCATATTGTCTAT